AGCCGTGCGCTACACAGGAGAACTGCGGCGGGGACAGAGGTGATAACTTGCCAAAAGACACAAAGGAAACTGGTGGCTCCGCAAAAGCAAACCGAGCCTAAGGCTTAGGTCCAAATCTGATGCTCTTGCTACCTTGCCGTTTGCCTCAGAGCCAGTCCTTTGTCCTTTCCGTTCGGGAGAGGGAGGGATCCAAAGATACTACTGCTATTATCGTCTTAGATAATCTGTGAGGCAGGAGCAGAGCAATGCTTATCCCAGGAAACGTATTGCCAAAAGAATTTAACAACTGTACAAATTGCTGTCCTTTGATGATGCCTGAAAGAAAAGATCCATGTATCATAAGCAAGAACGACTCACACTCCCCCTCTCTTTTACTCCCCCACTGATATATTAAATCTACTAAAATTCAGAGGGCAGCAGTGCACCCATTAATGTTGAAATTGCCGGGCTGGTGTCTAATGTAAATGAAACTACATTGATTTAGTGTTACCCAACGTGCCTCTCCTGCTTGTTCATCTTCTGCAGTCTGATCAAAATCCTTCCTTCCAGGTAGCTGTGGCCTTATGCCCTATATAAGCACAGAAAATAATGTCATCACAGGCCTTAATGATGAAGGTAGTTATAGGACAAAAGCCCCTGCAGCAAGTTGGGTATTGGGTCATTGTTCCTGCTAATGTCATGGTGCCATTTCTTGCTATTTTTCGAATTGTTCCCTTTGTACAGCAAATTTCTCATGTAGTTGCTTAACTACACAGAAGATCTTGTCTTCACTGGACCTAGTAGCAAGAAGCCACCTTCCTCTGACTTCTGGAAATCAGACAAACCCCTAAAAGCTGAAGAGATTGATAAAAACTTGGTACACAGCCGCCTGCAAACCTGAATTTAAACTTTGAAAAAATGAGGATCTCGACTCAGTCTGCTGCTAACCCTTAATGCAGTGACAGACTGAGCACAAAGACCTTGCAGAAAATTTTGCAGGCATCTAAATTATCCGCTCACAGTTTCAGAGGTAACTTGGGGATTCAGTAAATCAGCATGGGCTTAGTTCCTAAATTATTTATATGTTTTTGGAACCCCTAGCACAGATCCAAACCTCTCCACATTTTGAGGGAAGAGACGTGGCACAATGGATTAGGGACTTTTGAGCTTTTCATGCCTAAAAGGTTCCAAACTCTATATCCAAGCTCTTTTCTTGTCATCTACTTTGTATATTATGGTTGTCTCAGACACCTTAGCGCAGATTGAGGCTCTTTGGCTTTGGTTGCCCTATAAGCACAGGAGATGCAACCTGTAAATTCCGAGTTTGCAGTCTAAATAAGCAAGACTGACAAAGACGAGTTATTATTCCCGTGTTATTGGCAGGGAAATAAGACACAGAAAGATTAAACGACCAGCCCAAGGTCACAAAAAGAGTCTCTAGCAAAGGTGGGGTCTCAGCCCAGATTTCTTAAGTCTCTGCCCAATACTTCAGCCATCCATTCACTTGCTTTTTAAGTACCCTGTCATTATTTCTGTGAAGAAAATTATGCAACTCCTCCAGCAGCCAGTACTGTGTAATTCAGCTTGTCTGAAAGGGAATATGAAATGGCAGTTTCAAAAAAAATTAACCCTCCTGCCACACAATCTGGCAGCCCTGTCAAAACGTCTCATTTTTTATCTTCTCTTCCTCTGGTGGGTATTTAATTTCCCTCTATATTCTCAAAATACCGGCTGGGACTTTATCTGCATTACCCTGCAAAACCTTCACAGGAGTCTCCAGGGCCTTGCGGAGGACGTGTTCTGTAGATGAAGGACGCGATAGTTTTGAGCCCTTCATTTCTACCCCAGGTGTTCAGATCCCCCCCATTCCTTGTAGCTGTCACTTGCAGAGGAAGGTTCCCGGCAGCTTCCCTGACAGCAGCAGCAGCTCCAGCTCTGCGGGAGGACGCGGGAAGCGCCCCTGCGCTCACTCGCCCGTCGCAGCGCTGCGTCGCTCAGCCACGCTTTCAGGTGGGGTGTTACGCGCTGGCAGAGCTTTTATTCCCCGTTGCCCTGTCAATGGAAGGGGGAGCTGCGCCTCTGAGGGCAATCTGGTTCAGGAGAGCCCCCGCCTTCGGGTGACGTCTCCATCACCCTGGTGCCCTGGTTTGGGACACTAATTTTCGGTGGTGACCTCAATAAGAGAAGCCCGAGGATGCAGGAGAGCCAAGGTGACAAAGGAATGGTTTCTGCCCCTCGCAGAGTCAAAATCCCGCCCCAGACCCTTCCGAGCAGCCCCATGCAGTTGCAGCCCCTCCGCGCCGGGCGAGCAGCGCGGCCGCCCCCACCTTCCGCTCTCTTTGACTCCCCAGACCAAATAATCCATTTACAGCCAGGCCGGGGGCGAGGTACCGAGGCTCGAGCACCTTTTGTATTCAGGGACCTGCAGGAAGGGGCTGCTGGGACACTGCTCCTTGGGCTCTTTATTCTCTTTCTCATTACTAAGCAATTTCTTTATTCGTGGAAAAAGCATTTTCATCAGCTGCACTTCTACCCTGTGATGGTTCTGACAGCCCACCCGAGAACTGGGGGCGGGCTCTGATGTAAATTCGGGACCTAAAAAGCCTACCTGGTGTTCCGGTGAATTCCATATGCATTCTACGGAGAGGAAATTAATAGGAAGCTTTAGTTACTAGATACTTCAGATAAAAGTGCGAGTGCATCTGATCACCATAGCAACATGAAAGAGCCAGCAGGGAGAGGAAATGTCACCGTGTCTGTGCCTTGACCCGCAGCATAAACAGCCTAAGTGCTGCGGATTTCACACATGGATGTTCGCAAGCGGGGACACAGACGCGCGCAGGTACACGGCCCCGCACGCACGCAGCCCGCTCATGCGTTCAGCCGTTAAGTATTCGCACACAGCTGAGCTGGTGCACGCAGACACGCGCATGAAGGCTGACACGTTAATATTAAAACAGACCACATGTGCCCACGCTCCTTGCTGACAGCTATTTACTTACGGGAACCCAATTTTTAGCTTGTGACCATAGGTGTGTATCCATACGTGCGTGCAGAGGGGACACGGGAACGCTCCCACCCAGCAAATATTCCAGCGCACGCAGCCGCTCCTCCTGTCCCGGCGTGCGGGGAACTGCACTCGCGCAGCGTGGACAGACGGGAGACGCTCAAAAACACCTTTGCTCCTTTTCTTATCAAGCGCGAAGCCGCTGCGTCCCCGAGCACATCGCACGCGTAGACGACACGCTCGCACGCACAGCCGGCCCTCGTGCGGGAATCCTGCCACGGACACTTTGGCTCCAGCTCTCAGGAGCGCTGAGCACCTGCTGCTCCCGTTGACTTTAACAGCTGCTGAAGTGAAAATTAGGCCCACGCTGTCTGTTATGCAAAAGCAGTTTCTTAGCAACAAAAATTATATTCTGTGTGAAGGCAACATGCATTAGCAGGATAATCCTAGGTGATTCCAGACAAGACCTAAATGGGTGGATGGATGGATGGACTGAATAATAATAATGACAGAGAGAATAATAATAATGGAAATAATGAGGCCAATCTTATTTCCCTGGAAAGGAGAAGAAATATATATATAAATATATATAAATAAAATACAACAGGAGAAACCCTGTGCCAATTCGCCATATCAAGATCAGAGCCACTTAAATTCAACTTACACCCTAAAAATAGGTCCTGGTAACTAAAGCTTCGCTCATCTAAGCTGGGCTATTTATTGCCTTGAATACTTTTCCCTCGCTCCAGCCATGTATTACCATTCAGGAACGGAGAAAGCCGTACATCTCGTCCGATGGCAGGGACCAACGGGAACAGATCTGTCTTTGCCGTTACGGAGGAGGCTTGGCGACCTCCGGACTGTCTTCTCCCAGGCAGAAAAGCTGTACTTCAAATTATATATTTTATTTCTATATTATACTTGCTCTACCAAACCCAAATGATTCGCTACAATTAAAACCGCGTCAGACTAACGCTGTGCAGCACGCTGCGTAGCTATTGTATTTTGAACTGCAACGGGTTCCGGGAATTGAACAGAAATAAAACCTCCCATGAAATTCGCACACGCGGCAAAGTTACAGAAGAACTTTGACAGCCCGGGTCGCATCTGTTCGCGCAGACCGGGAGGCCCCGGGCCCCTCGCCCGGGCTGTGCGGCCGCCCCGGCACAGGGGTCCTTCCCCCCCCGGGCCCCATCCCGCCCCGGGCCCGAGTCCCCCAGGGTCCGCGGGGCCGCCCCCGGGGCAGACAGACCC